CACTGCTTCTTGTGTCGCCCAGCCTCCCCAGCCCCGCCACCCGTTCCACCTAGTCTGCACCGCTGCTGCCGCCTCCCCAGCCCCGCTGCCTGTTCCACCACTCTGCACCGCTGCTGCCGCCTCCCCAGCCCCGCTAGCCAGAACTCTTCGGAGAGTCACCTTTTGCGCTGCCTTTACAGGAGATTTGTACATCTCAGGGTGCACAGGGGTGACAATAGCCTCCAGCTCAAGGAAGTAACGCCATCCACCATGAAACCAAGGCACAGTAGGCTGAAGTAAGCTTACCGAGGCGGATCCTCTACTACATGCTCCACTGCATCCTCGACCTCCTGCCCTGCAGCCGCGACCCATACGAGATTGCCGCCATGGCGCGCATTCTCATACATCTGCTCCATTGCGCGCAGCTATATGATATCTACGTTAGGCATATGAGCTATATCAAAGCCTGGTAGTTTTAAAGCTGGGAAGCAGGCTTGATGGAAGGCTAGATGGAACGGTTGAGCGAACGGGAGGCTTAATGGAGCTCGTCGTCCACAAAATCAAGATGTCCGTCAGAAAATAAAAAAATGCATTGATTAAAAAAATGGAAATTATATTTGGTGCCAAGTGAATGAGGCGCTTGCATAGCCGGACTGGAAGCTGGTTATTTTGGTCCGGCAGCCGGTCCGGCGATGACCGGAACCGGTCCGGAATCAGAGCGTTACAGAGCCAAATCGCAAAGCGATGAAGGCGTGATTTGATTAAGACTGATCTATGAACAGTCTATGAATACCTTGAGATTAAGAGGGTCTTTCCATTGGCTGGTCGTAAATTTTCGTAGATTCTCCTTAGGGCCGGCCGGGCCCGCCGCACCTCCTTTTTTGGGATTTCTTGCACAAACTGATAATATAGATGTAAACGAATGTGTGTATGTAATTTTGGCAGCGCGAAGTGCCCCATGCGAGAAGTTGCCGGACGGCCAATGGAAAGGGAGATTTCCGTAACTTTTCAATTACACACGCTAAGAAATACTTAGCTAGTACATGCTCCCGACCATGTATTAAATTGTCGACCTCGCATATACTCTTCACATTTGTGTGAGCTGAATAGCCAAATATTTGGTGCGTTGACCAGTGCAGTCGCGGCCCTCGGAAGCGACAGACGCCAGCTACGCATAACCGGCGAGTGCTATTTCCTCGTCAATGTCCTTCCAGGGAAGTCCTGCTGGTACACTGAAACT